GGGGCGGGGCCGGGGGCAGGGCCGGGACGGGCCGGGGCGGGGCCGGGGCAGGGCCGGGACGGGCCGGGCTCGTTCCGCTGCGCAGCCGCCGCAGCCGCTCGGGGCAGGGCCGGGGCCGCTCCCGCTCCCCAGCCGGGCCCCGCCGCTCCAGCCGGGGCTGTGCGCGCCGCGGGGGTGGTGGGCTCGGGGATGTGATACTGGAGAAAGGCCACACGTGTGAAATTTTGCTTTGGTCTCCTGCCAATTGCACTCGAATCACTGGAGCTTTGCCTCCAGTTCATCTTCTGGAGTGCCGTGTCCAGTTCGGGGCTCGTCAGGACAAGAGAGACAGGGAGGTACTGGAGTCAGTCAAGTGGAGGAGCACAAAGCTGATTTGGGCATGGAGCATTTTTCTTCTGAGAGCAGACTGTGGGAGTTAGGCCTGTTCAGTCCAGAGATGACTGAGAGGGGATCTCCTTAATGCATATGAATATCTCTAAGATGGATGCCAAGACCATAGTGCCAGACTGTTTTCAGTGGTGTCCAGAGACAGAATAAGGAGCAGTGGCCATAAACTAAACTACAAGAATTCCACTGAAATATGACAAAGAATTTCTTTGTGTTGAGGGTGGCAGAGATCTGGAACAGGCTGTCCATGGAGGCTGTGTCATCTGCTCTATGTCACCCTGCCTTGACAGGGTGGCTGGAGTAGATAATCTCCAAAGGTCACTTTCAACTCTAATGAGTCTGTGATTCCTTGTTTATTAGAAAGTCTGCAGTAGGATCCTGTGTCATTGTTCACCCAGCCACACCTATCCAATCCTATCCTTCATCCTCCCCCTAGTACCTCTTATTTCACAATAACTTCGAGGTCAGCCCTCGCCTCAGTGCCCTGCACATGTAACTTTTCCTCGTCCTCCCTCTGCTACCCAATGAAGACTCTGACTTCCTCCCATCCTTACCATGCTAACCACCTGTTACTGTGGTTAGCAAATCTTCCACCAGATTCTGCCTTTGACTTATCTTTCCCCCTTCAGCTCTCAGAGATTCTGTGCAGCATCCTGAGAGGGGTTCAGGTTTCACCAAGAGCTGATGGCAGAAGGGGAAATCACCCAGTAGGTCTAAACCTGCTGGAAGAATTGAGACAAATGGTTTTACTGACTTCAAGAGAAATCAAAGTGAGCCCTGAGCAGATGAACTAGTCTGTGTATTAAATATAATGGTGGTTGTTGGTTCCCTTCACTGCAGTTCACAGTGTTGCAGGGCTGCAGACTCCCGCATGACTGAGGCGCCAGCAGGCTAAAGAGGCCAAGGGCTGTCTGAACACTTTGCAACTGTAACACCTTCCATGCCACCTTCTTTGCCAGGGTTGACATCCTGCACAGATGGAAGTGCTAGTGCTTTCCTAAGATCTTCAGGCCTGCTTTTTCTTCATTCTCCCTGCAGCCACTCAGCCCAAATGACAAATGTGTAGCTTGACTGCCATGGCTGCATGCCCAGACTGTAAGCCTCATGCCTGTGGTGTCCTCCGTGGAAGTGAGCCGTAGTGACTGTATGTAGAGAGCTGCCACTTTCACCTGTGTTCACAGGTACCTGCAGGAGAAACACCTGGACATCATGGTTCAGCCATCCTCCCCGTGAGTGTTTGTTTTGTTTATAGTTGTTTTTTTTTTTCTCTCTCTCTCTCTCAGTGTATGATAGGGGAACTGAAGTGATGGGGCTTTTTGCTCTATCAGGAGGGTCAGTTTACCTCCTGGAAGGTTTTTTTAGCAGAGGGGCAGAAAGCATTTGAACAGGCGCTGAAGAAGGTGGAAGGCTCCTGCGCTGGGATTCAGTGATGTTACTGGTGCCTGTGTGGTAGCCCCGCAGCTCACCCCACCTCACTCCAGGTGCTGAGCAGGGGAGCACGGGTTTGCCGTGGGCTGAACACCCTTGCATCTGTGCTTGCAGTCCTGTGCTCTGCTCTCTACACTGCAGAAACTCCACGGTCCTGGGGGACAGGGAGAAGGACACCCCTGTGCTCTCCCAAATACCATTCCCTCCGATGGTACGGCATTCACCCGGAGCTGGCTCCTGACCCCGCAGCTACTCGCAGGAGAACCTGGAGCGCCCTTCTTGTTCAGGAGCTGCTCCTTTCGCGTTGTATTTTGTCCGTGGGCTTTTGGCGTGCCTCCGCGGCCGTCCCCGCGCCCTGCGCCCGGCGCGCTCGGCCGGTGCCTCCTCCGCCGGCTGCGCCTCCCTGCCAGCCCAGCCGGGCTGACCCGGCTGCACCCGCGGAGGGCGGGAGGAAATGCAGCCATGCGGCAGGAGGTGGCGAGCGAGCTCCTAGGGAGCGCTGTCGGCTGAGCCCCGAGTGTCCTGGCGACAGTGGGATGCTCTTTCAGGCTTGCAATCGGCTCTGAAAACGCCAGCATGCGTGCAGAAATGTTGCAAGGCTTTTTCAGAATTGTGTTTTGTGTCAAGGTGAAGGGCAACTAAGAATGCTGAACTGGTTTTATAGGAGTGTCAAAACAGGGATAAGGCCAGGGCAGAAGAGGCAAACTTGGAGTGTTCCTTTCTCGTGGAAATACTCCTTGAGCAGTCACACTGGGACCGTCCTGCCAGGGACAGATGGTGTTAGTTCCTTGGGCTCCCAGTGCGGGTTATTCTGTAGGGACCCACAGAACAGAACCTAAGTACTTTTTGATACTGAAGACACCTAAGAGACTTGCAACAGCATTTTAAGGGGCTGATCAACTGATTTGCTTTGTAAATTGCAAAACCTTTCTTTTATTGGAAAACCTTTCCTTTAATGTTAAATGTGCATGTTCACTGTGGTAAAGTAAAATGCTGACCAAGTTGATGTGTTTAAACAGAATTTTCTATATTTTAAGTAGAATTGTCTGGATCTTTAAGCTCTGAGTCCTGAAGCAGAATTCGATGTCCCTGTCCCTTCCTTTGATCTCTGATCCAGATGGAAGTTGATGGTCTCATTCTCCCCTTTAACCTTTCTTTTAAATGTAAAAAGATGCTATCAGGTAGCTTAAGCAGATGTTGCTCAATGTTTATGGAAAGCTTTTGTATTTTATGACCTGCCTGGCAATTGTCTGAGAAGATGACATCTTCTTTGACGCTCAGTCTGAAGTTCTGCACGTCCTGAACTGAACTTTTCTTGAAACTGAGTAGGGGACATCACCCCAAACAACCAGCAGGGACCACTAGAGACCCCCAAAGAGTTCTACAAAGGTGCAGTGACATGTACTGCATAAGGTCATGCAAGTGAAGCAATTATGCTGTAGGCAGGAGTAATTATGTATTAGATAGGCAGGTTTATGTAGATTTCAGTGTGTGAATTCTCTCACATTTTAAACCTTGGTCACCTTGATTTGTGGAAAATCTCTGCTTTGCGTCTCAGGGATACATCAAAGGGTTTCTAAACCCTTTGTCCATTTTTAGAGAGTTCAGAAAGTTGGAAACAAAAACAATGAATTGATTTACAATTTAGAAGCCTTTGCAGAATAATTAATTTATTTGAGATGGTGCCCAGGCATTCAAAGAGGAGAAGAAATTAAGCAGATCCCAGCAGGAAGGAGCGGATGCAGCCAAGGTTAAGACAGAATCTGCTGCAGCCATGCCATCAGGGCCTGTTGCAGAGACGTTCCGAGTTATTCAAGGGGCAGTGACTGAAGAGTACGTGAGAAGTACTCAGGGCATCTTTCAGTTTGAGCTATCTGGTAAGCCCATTGCTTGTGCAGCCTTGCCTAGCAAAAGGCACTGGGTGCTTTTGGGCAGAAACACTTTGGAAGCTGTCCCGAAGCAGACCAGCTCCTCTTCGGTTCTGTGTGAGGCTCCTGCTGCAGGCCGCTTGAGCAGCCCTGGGAGCTGCCGTCCCTCTGTCCTCATGGGGCTGGTGTGGCACAAGGGACAGGGCGTTCTTGGGGCCACGGCAGGAGTGGCAGCTGCCACCAGCTCTGGGAGCAAAGCGCAGCTTCTGGGCTCTCCCGCCCGCGGCCCCAGCCCGTGGTGCTTGGGGCGTCAGGGGGACAAGAGGTGACTCCTTGCAGAGCGCCCATCAGCGTGCGGCTGCCACGGAACCGCTGCAAGCGCCCGCGGCCGTCTGGCAGGGGCAACAGAGAGGGAGGGCACAGCATCCTTGCTGCCTTCGCACCTCACTTCACTCTCTGTGCAGGTGACGGTGGAGGCACTTGGTACATCGACCTGAAGACCAAGGGTGGGAGCGCTGGCTTTGGAAAGCCTCCTGTGACAGCCGATGTGGTTATGAGCATGTCGAGTGCCGACTTTGTAAAGATGTTCACAGGTGAGGGACAAAGGCCTTTGTCAGGGGACACAGGCAGCGGGGCCCAGAAAAGCCTCTGCTGACAGGGGAGTAGAACAGCTTCTCACTTTGTGGTCTGGGATTGGAGGAGCTTTCAGCTTTTTTGGCTCAAGGAGAGTGCAGGCAAGAACTGCTTGGATGTTTCTGCACTTCTGCGTCCTGTGAACAGGCAGAGTGCAAAAGGTTACACTGCTTTTATTAACCAGGTACTGACATTTTAGCAGCCAAAATATCTTCAGAAAGAATCCAGTCAAATGGTGTACTTGTGCTCTGTGTATATCTGAGCAGCATTTCCTAAATGTGCACTGCTTGTACCAGGAGGACTTGTTGGGAAAGTAAGCTGATATGTTTCATCTCCCCTGAGAGATTGGAGCCATATGGTCTTTTCTCAGTTAAATCAGTCATAATCTAATAATTTTATTAAGTAACAGGATACAACATCTGATGTCATTTGCTCCTCTTTGCTTTCTCATTCCAGAAAATATATTTACTGATTAAATAGTGTTATACAGGAGGCAGTATCAGAATTTTCATAATGTTAAATTAGTACACTTCTTTGTAAGTGTGATTTCTACAAGTAACACTATTCAAAACAGCTCCAAACCTTTTTTAACACACTTCAAAATGAAGTCAGAAGACAACAGATTAATAATGAAAAAAAAGTTATCCATTAAATAAATCATTGCAATCAAGTCCTCAGAAATGTTTTTACAGATGGACTGGAAAAGTAAATTCTACTTCGATTAATCAGCCTGCTCCTTTACAGCAAAGTTCTTCAATATTGTGAAATGCAGATAGATAAAGATATATGGAAATTATTTGTTAGATTCGGATATTGGAGGTATATGAGATTTAATCACAGATTCTGATTTAGCATTTTTACCATGTGGATAAAACTATGAATGATATTCCAAAACAGAATTTCTAAAGCACTCAAAAATCTTACTCTAGGGATATTACTATTTCCTCTGCACAGCCTATATACAAATTATTTTAATTTTCTGATTATTCTGTTTCTTCATTTTAGATAAACTAAAGCCATTCATGGCTTTCATGCCAGGAAATTCTAGTATTAAAGGTGATATGATGCTAACATTGAGTCTGGAAAAGATGCTGCTATAGTAAAATTTTGAACACTAGCAGAATCCTGGTCTTTCTTATGTAACTACAAAGCTATTTTAAAACACCAGTCCTCATTTTTTGCTGATGCAGATCAGCATTTTGTAGATCAAGATCAATAGATTTTGTAATTGCTATGGAAGTCACAAATCAGGTTGATTATAATACCCAACAGTAAACAAAGCTTTTAAAAATAACTTCCTGTAAAGTTTAAAAATACAATTATATCCTAAAATTCTGTTTTTTCAATAACAGCTTTTCAAATTTTCACTTTTTTTTTTTTCTGAGTGCAAACTCTCTTGTGTCATTGTGAGATGCAAACCTAACAGAAATTTATTTCTTATCATGTTTTCTCATCTTTAAATTACCTGATGTCTAAGGAGATATGAGTTCTTATCCCATGATTAGGGGATGCACAGCATGTTTCCAGTGTACTGTAAGAGCTGAAGTCAGCACTAACTTTTCCTTTGACTGGGAGACAAAGAGTATTTTTCTGCCCTGTACTGGTTTCACAAAGCTTTTATGAATTGACCATCCCTATCAGATGTTATTTAAAAACATCTCTGACAACATTGAACTATTGAAAAAGTTTGCTGTGCACTTGTACGACAGGACCTAACATGGATGCTGTAATAGAGAAATCATTGCAGATATTTGCTTTCTGCAAAGGATTTTTTACATGAGGTCAAAAGTGTGTTTCTTTTTACTCTATTACTCACTTCACTGATTTTGAGTCCCATAAAAATGAAGTAACTAAAAAAATTGTGACTGTTTTGCTACTGTGAGTAACTGGAGAGAAAGGTACGATTTTTTTGGTTGATGATAAATGAAAAGAACGGCTCCAAAATGTGCATAAGAGAGACACGATCATACTGGCTGCTGATCCTAGTGAGGAGGACTGATGGCTCGTCGTACTGCGAAGGAAATGTGACCCTCATGTGCTCAAGGGCTCTGTTTAGGCTTCTTCCGTCCCCCTGTTGAGCAGTCCCAGGTCCTCCGGCGGAGTTTGGAGCAGGCGGTGCCAGCAGAGGGAGCAGGCAGCACGGCGGAGCGGGGCTGCCTCGGGCACCCGCGGCAGCCGGGCGCTGCCGAGCCTGCCCTGCTGCCCGGCTGCGGCAGACTTGCCCAGGAGCTGGACTCGCCAAAGTGCACCAAGAGCTTTTTCTGCTTAAAGCACGGGTCAAATGTGGGATAGGGCGAGATAAACAGGTTTGCAGCGATTTCAAAATCTCTGTCTGTGCCTTGCATCCTCTTAGTTCCTTCCCTCATTCCTGGTATAAAGTCTGTGCTCCAGAGCAGGAATGAGGGAAGTTGCGTACTTCTAGACGACAGATCACCAGGACTTGTCATATTTCTTTGAACCACTGTAGTAATCAGTGAGAGTAATATTTTGGGGAGAGACTTGGTTTGGAAGAGTGTTAGCCTGAATGCTTAAAATTTGACAAAATTCAAACCCAGTAAATCCTTATATAATGTCCATGTAATCTAATCCATATAGTCTGTATAATAGTGTCTTGCTTAATCTTAGTTCTATGCATCGTTCTGTCCTAGAATAAGATGGTGCTTTCTATAGCAAAGTTATGCTCTAATTAATGAAATATAACTAGCTCAAGCAATAATACATAGAGTCAGTGTCTTTTACTGCAGTGGCTTGTAGCTCTATTTCCCATCATTTCTATGAGGGGTTGAGAACAAGACTTTGCCAGCTGTCTGGGGCAGTATCATCACACCTCTTGAGACAGGTTTACCTGCACAAAATTTTATCAGTGGGGTCCACACTTCAACTTGAAGTTGCTGTATGGGAAAAATAATAAAAAGAAAAGGAAGTGCCTGACAAGTAGCCAGCCAAGAAATGTGGCCCCCAGAAGAGTGACCTTTCCAGAATCAGCAAGCAGTGAAGATGAAGAAGGTGACTATAATTATTGTTGTCAGGCTTTCTCCTCTGTCAACTCTGCCCTTGGCATTAGGAGTCAGCCAAGCTACCTCTTGGTTGTTCCTGTATATGATGCTGTCAGTGCTGACAGGATCACATTTAAGCAGTCACAGGTGGTGTGTGTCAGTCACTCCACTTTGTGTATATTTACGGCTGGTAATGTTTACAGGTTATTTACATGATTATTATTTACTTTTCAATTTGCTAACTCTTGCTTTTCCCCTTAATACAAACTAAGGTTACAAAACAGGAAGCACAAGGGGAAGAAAGATGAGATTCTTGGACTATGAGCAATTACTTTCTATGAGAATCTACTGAGATTTGCAAGTGGAAGGTCAAGGCAACAGCATAGGAAGGAGAAGGGAGAGACTGACAGTCTCAGGTGGAAGGCTGCAGGGCTGCAAGTGATAGCTGGGCCCTGAAGGGTTCATAGAAGGCACTTAGCATTGCAGTGGCGACATCACTTGTGCATGTCTGTGTGCAGCAGTTGATATGTCTGCCATTTGCTACTCAGTGCTAAAAGACAGCTTATGCAATGAAATTGTGATCACAAGATTGGACTGGGAGGCCTGCACATTAGAATCTAACAACCAAGGAGACAGAAAAGTGTACACACTATTTTGGCATGGCATGGTTGAATTCAAGCTTTATGGTTACCTCACTAGAAAGTGAAGCAAGGAAGGAAAAGTGGGTTCTATCAAGTTCTTAAATGTAAGCAGTAATTTTGAGCTTGATTACTTGTTCTCACTTTCTCCCACTTATAGGAGCCATATGGCATTGGCAACAACTCTGAAAGCAGATCTTTTCACCAATGGTTAAAGTTTTAGCAGGGTGGAGGATAAGTACATCACCATTATCTTCAATCATGATCTTTGTCACAATTTTGATTGTGAGCTTGTCTGAGATGTAGTATTGAGTGAACAAATAACACAAAATCAGTGTGACGGATTTTTTTCAGCAAGAAATATATTTAGTACTATTCATAATATTTTATTCAGAAGGATGTTATCAGCTATTTCTTTATACTATTACTACTACTTACTATTTTTCTACTAAACAACTCAATATGATAGAGGGGAATTCTGAGATCCAGACTTTACTGTAAAAGCATTATCTGGGTCACATCTATTCACTGAAACAGGTCTCTCAAACTTTGGAATTTACCAGGCCAAAAAGGGAGGGAAGAAAATAATACCATGGTTGCCTCAAGCCAGAAACCTTGGGAGGAAACACTGGCTCAGTTTGTTGTTTTTGTTTTTGTTTTTGTTTTTGTTTTTGTTTTTGTTCTTGGGTTTTTTGTATTTGTTTTTGTTTTTGTTTTTTTGTTTTTGTTTTTTCCAGAGGAATAAATGCTTCTATGACAGTGACAGTCAGATATCTTAAATAAATAATGCCCCATATTCATATTTACAATTTTCTCTGCTGTTATTTTCTTATGTTTGAAGAAAAGGAGATCCTTCCAAAGACACAACATAGGAGACTCTGTTGTCAGCCTGCTACAGGTGGGCAACTGCATGAAAGGCTGGAAATAGCCCCAGGATTTCTGTGGTAGGGCCACAACTCAGCTCCCACATGATTCCAGTTCTGTCATTGCGAAGATTTCCTCACCCTCCGTCTTCTTGTGTTTGCACTGTGAGCTACTTAAGGCACCCTGTAAAAAGGAGTTGTACTCGCACAGCCCAGCGCTGAGGGGAACAGAAACGGATGCACTGTGGGTCTGCTACAGCCTTCATTTGCTGTTTGCAGAGAGCCACCCCCTTTTGTGAGCCCAGAAACTCACAGCTAGCAGTGTGAGTGGGTGAAGAACATGATCCAGTTATGTTTTAAATCTACTCTCTGTGTTTTAAAGGTAAACATTAGGTAATAACTTGAGGCCACAGGCTGGAGACCAAAGGATCAATGTCCTTATCCTATAGAGAGAAATTACACACTGTACCTTCAGACAAATCTCCCTCATATAATTAGGACACACTTGTAGTGCTAAATCTCCTGCTTGCTTTCAAATGGATTTCTTGTTGAGCTGTTATTACACACTTTCTCCATACTAATTATTTGGGCTTTTGTTTAAACTGCTCTCCTTTACCCGTGTATTTCATCCAAGAGCTGATACTTACCTAGTCACCTGCTGTTGCCATAGATATATCCTGTTCCACCAAAACCTGCAGGAATTTAATACAAAAGAGTTACATGGTCACAACTCTGAATACACACAGACTGGATTACCAAGGGTGTTTCAAGCCTCATTAAATAGTATAGAATTTCCAAAGGCACCTTGTGGACTGATCTTCATATACTTTTTCTGTCTAATTATTAGCACTAATTGTTAGTTGCAGCCTAGTAACAAAACTAACAAAGGGAGGACCAGCAGAAAGTTAGTTCTGTTCTGATATGCTTGGGTGTAAATATGAAGTATCCTTGTGATATCTGCACTGCTTTCTTCAGCATCATGGACATGTGAAGGAAAGGTGGCTGCCTAACATCACAATATGAGGTTCTCAGTGGAGAAAATGAACAGGTTTTCTACTGTCAGTTTGTTATCTGTCCCACACAGGGTATAAAAAATTAGAAGTGACCTAAAAGCTGGGTATTTTACTGGTTATTATGATGTCTCTAAGCTTTCACAAGGTGTTACCTGCTTTGCATTTAATCAATCACATTCTAACTCACTTGAAGCATAGCCCTGACCTGAAGTTAGGTATTTTGTTGTGCTGGCTTTCTTTTTTTTTTTTTTTTAGAGTTGATGAATAACTGCAGTTGTAACAAATCCAGTGACTGTGGGTTGGGTGGTCTTTAGTACTGGTACTTACTCCCGCACGTTCCTTCAGGATCTCCAAAGCAAAATGAGTATGCCCTCATATGTGCTATAGGCTGGGTGTTGAATGTGCAAAGGGAGTTTGATAAAGGTAGGAGTTTTCTGGTAATCAGTGATTATTGGAAAAAGACAAAACCTTTACAATGCACTGTGATGGCTGAATTTCTGCTCCTCTGCTTGTCCCACACAACCTTCTACTTCAGAAACAAGCTCAGGACACTCCTTGCCTGGTCAACCCTTTTAATTCAGTCTTACCTACATGACTAGAAAAATGTCTGCTCATGCACCTGTGTAAGTCTGTCTTGGCCTGCTCAGGCAGAGCAATATTTGCAACAGCTATCCTAGCAGTCGAGTAGAGGGATTGCCAATAATTCAGTCAGCTGGAGCAGAAGACCACTCAAGCTTTCCTGTTTGAATCAGGCTCCTTTAGGGCTTGTGTCCCATTAGGGTCCCAGAATGAAGAATTAATTCATCTCTTGTGGATCCTTGTACAGCTCTTTTTTCTGGTGTGTGGAGCAGGGATGTCGGGTCAGTGTTAAAAGCAGGATTACAAGTGTTGAAATACTGCTGAGCAGGGTCAACTAAATGCTGTGGTGAATGACCAACAGAACTGAAGGACCATGGTCTACTAAAATTGAGTTTGTTCTGAAATATTCTCCAAAAGTGACAAAATCTTAGGGCATCATGTAGTGTCCCCCATAAGTAATTTTTGGACTGGCAGGTAGGTGAAGGGCAAATAAACCGTTAGCAGTGCTTTGCTTTGAAGCATTGTGTGTATTTAATTAAAGATGTTCCAGAAATGCAGATATGATATTTTACAGATTCTGCTTTAAAAATCTTTCCTTACCTAAGGAGAAGCTGTGGGGTGTGAGGGAGGAGTTGCTTGCTTGATCTTCCTCTTTAAGGACACTCTTAAACAAATGGATTACGTTCTGATACTGCTTTGCCTTGCCTTATAAATAAATTTGGTCTTCAAACATTACAGTTCCAGTATTTTGTACAGCAAACCTAAAAAACACCTTAAAACAACCCCACAGACAAGCAATTTATTCACTTCCATATTTATTTGCAATTTTCCAAGGACCTTCCCAATAGCAGCATACCTGTTTAGTGCCAGAAAGCTGGTGTCCAAAGAGGTGCTTAATGTCTTTCATTCTGACCCTGCCTACATCAGTGTAGCTCTACCACATTGCTACTGAAAACACAGGGATACAAAGCCCTCTGCACAGTCGTGAGAGAAGGATTTCTTATTTACTAACCACCAGCATCTCAGGTGTGTGTTGTAATACCCCAGCTCCACTTGTCACACCAGTTCTCTGCAAGTCAGATCATTTGACTTCCTGCAGTCATGGAGAAAACTGCCACCCACCTTCTGTCATTGACCTTTAGTCCCCATGGCAGGGTGTTTGTAAGCTGCACTGCCCCACAGACCCACCTGTTGCTCTGCCCTTCAAGAGCACTGATGCCCCGTGAGGGAACCAGCCCATTAATACTGACTTGCAGATGCCTGTTTCTCACCAAGCCCTTTCATCCACAGAAGTGTGTTATCCAGGTGGGTCTAGCTCATGCTTAATTCTCTGAGAGGGGACTGCAGTATTCCAGACTGACACACAGGCTTTTGGGGCGGGGGAAGCTGGCTCTCCAGATTTTTGGTGCTCATTCCTTTGCAAGAGGTGTTGAGGTAGAGGAAGTTTCAGTGAAGAACCAGCTGTCTGCCTGCATGTTGGAAGGCTGCTTCAAGCAGGCTTCCCTCACAATGTTACAAAGGAGGAAGAGGTGGTGTAGGACACCACAAGGTTTGGTCAAGCACTGAGCTCTTCTAGGACTTTCTGGGACCTTACAGATACTACTCTTTCCATGCTCCAGCTAACTGATGGACTAAAGTCTTGCTTTGGTCATGACAAATGAAGTCTAGAAAGGAAGATGAATCTTGTAACTTATACTACTTTTTCAGGGGCTGCCTTTTTCAGGAAGATACTGGTTGTGCCAGGAATTTTTCCTTACTCAAAAGTGGTTCCGCTTAACTTTTTTGCACAGCAGGAGCTAGTTTGGTTGGGCACATGTTCCTCTGAGAAACATACCTTTAAAAACTAGTTTATGATCTGCGTTTGGCTGGTTCCAGCCATGATGATCAGCCCTTGGAGCAAATAGCTAATGGCAGTCTGTGGGGAACTGCTGCAAAAAAAAAAGCCTCTTGTGGCAGTGGCCTAATCCTGCCCTTCTTCCTGTGACGCAGTCACTTCTGATTTCAAACCTACAGAATGGTCTGGTAAAACAGACCATTCTTGGCCTTTCTCATTTTTCATTCTCATCCCAGCTACTCTAGTGGTAGGTCCTTAGTGTACAGCCAGCTTTCTGCTAAAATCAGAAGTATTTTCTGATTGTGTCTGTCTTCCTCCCAGCCTGTTCATCACCTCCCAGGCCAGCTTTCCTCCTGCGGTGAGGGCTGGGGGGTTTTATATGGAGTGGGGTTTCACCTTTGAGTTTCAGCTGGCAAAGCTTTTGGCACCAAGTCAGGATCATGACTGGTGGTGGGTGCTGAGGGAGAGTCTGTGTGGGTGTTGGCACACCCTACTCAGCTGGGCAGGAGAGAGCAAGCATGGCCAGGGCACAGATTGCAGGGGTGTGACTCAGCTTCCTTGCTGCCTGAATCAAACAAAGGGCAGAGCTGGACAGCAGAAACAAGCCACTCAGCAGAATCCATCTCACCTGCCAGTCTTGAACTAAAGAGGAACCGGTCCAGACTGAGTCAGTGCACATCTTATCTTGTGAAGGACATCCCTGGGAAAAGCCAAGCTTTGCTCTGTTCCTGCTTGACCAACATGGAACTGGAGGGATGCTGGAGAAGCTGAGCAGTTCACAGCAAAGCCATGTGGCCACTTGGTGTCTGCATGTTTTTTGTGAGGTGGTATCATCTCTGCTGTGATGTTGCTGTCACTTGCCAGCACCTTTGGGCCTTTCTTCAAGCAGACAGTCAGGTGTTCCCAAACAGGAGAACAGTGATTCCTTTTCCTCCTCTTTGGCAGCTTGTACACCCTATTTCACAGACAGTGTTTCTCTGCAGAAGGATCAGTTCTTGTGGGACCTGGGATGCTTTTGCTTTTGTCCATTGTTTTTGGTCTGCTGGTGGCATGAGTGTTAATGGGATGGCAGGCTGCTTGGGAGAACTGGAGGGGAGAGCATGAGCTCCAACTGAGCACCACAAGCCCTAGCTTTCCTGGCACTGGCACCTGGAGTGAGACAATTTACCCTTGCCACACAGACTGCTGTGGCTGATGAAGGGTCACAGCACATGGGTTAGTGAGTTGCCAGAGGTCACAGAATAGAATAGTTCTGGGATGACGATGTGATACACTTCTTTCTCAGCCCACTGCATTAATGACAGCACCCTGCTGTCTTACCTGGACATGTGGACCATCTGTGGAGATATGCTCAGCACCTCCCACAGGTATCCATACCAAGTCAGATGTCTGCCTGGTTGTGTTTTATTCCAAGTGACGAATAGGAGGAGAAATGGCCAGCAATAACTCCTCACCACAGTCTCTTAGCTTTGCAGAGGAAGGACAGTCTCTCTGTCCACCCTGCAGCAGCCAGCACAGTCTTGTTGGGTCAATACAAGCAGCTTTCCTTCTTGGAGAAAACCTTGTTTTCTTGCTTGGGAACATCAGTGCACACAATTGCTGCCTTCTCAGTGCAATTACTCAGGCAGTGAGCTAAAATGAGCTCATCCAGAAGTGCAATTC